GAATGGAAGCTTATTGAGTACATCACTAAGCTAACCCCTTTTCAGCAGGGAGACATGGAATAGACAATCCATTAATCCCTTCTGAGCTGCAATGACTAATCATGCTGATACTAGAAGTGACCCTCTACTATTGCCAAAAGCAGGCAATTCCTCCAATCCTTGAACTATGCTAATTTTGTAAGGAAGGTGCAGCAATCACTATAGCACTTATAGCAGGATGGTTTCTTTGCGTACATGCATTTCATCATGTACATCTGGGGTGCTGATGGAGCTAAGGTAGGTTTTGCTGTCCCTTAATCCCTAAAGCAAAAAGATTGCCCTAAGGAAGCCTAAGAAACTTGCTCTAATTAAGGGCACTGTGTGGACTAAAATATAACAGACCAGACCAACTTAATAAAAATGGGTAGGATGAGGAGGAAGATATGCTGGCCAAATCCCAGCAGCAGCATAGCAACAGAGGCTGTTTCTGGACTCTGTCCGTGGGATGCCCCGGAGTTCTCACCACCTCCCTGACAGCATCCCACTTCGATGGTGCACATGAGCAAAGATCTACCCCCAAAAAGTAAGAAATGTCCTCTTCTTCCCTCTGTTCTCACCATGTAGTCATGCTTAAAATAACAGTCTTCAAACCCTTCAAGGACAGGGGATTATTAAACTCACTCTGTAAGGAGAGACGAAGGTAATTTTTTGGCTAAGCACCCTTGTGTGAACTAGCCATTCTGCTTTGTGCTCCCCTAGTAGGAAAGGGGTCTCTCTCTTTCACCAACAACTGCATCTCTTGCAATGTCTGCCATTAGTCTGCAAACAATAATGGCATGCAGTCTGTTACAATTCAGCAAACTTACTGCTTCAAACACTTGCAAATGTTTACAACAATCAAATCAAACACTTCCAAAAGCACAAAGCAAAATCCACTGTCTAAACATCCCCAGGTCCTAGAAGGAAACAGCACTGGGTCCTGATGTCAGGCAAGCATACATCTCTCATGGGCAAAGTCTATAAACATAAGGTCTGAACCCCCTTCTCTCTCCCACCTACCCCTTAAGACACTTAGGAAATACATATTAATGCCATAGCTTTTTGTTCCCTCTCCTGTTTTTACTTCTATAAGAAATACAAGTTTCTGATAGTGTAAAATGCTTCAGATAATGAGAACAAAAACAGCCTACTTTGAAGGACAACTACTTCCCAGCTGCCTCACCCAAACACCAGAAACTTCGCTCTGGTTCTGCACTTCCCATTATCAGTGTCCTACAGTGAGGACATTCAATGAGGTTTCTCAAAAAAAACCAGAAGTGCTTACATTCAGTCTCTTCCTCTTTATCAGGGAACCTTAGACCCTCCACAGTGCCCAAGTGACCCCCCCTTTCCCTGAACCCACACAAGTCAGAAAGAAAAGGTGCAAGTTACTTCTAGGATTTCTCCCACCTCTGCTGCTTCTGAGTGAATTTGTCTGATTTAGTTAAGACTTGAATCCCCCCTCACACACAAGCACGCAAATGTCTTCCTCTTTTATCTGGGTTTCTCTTCTGTAACCAGCCTCCCATTACAGAGAGATTCTGGCCAAGAACACAACACCCTTTCCAACTGAGCAGTACACAGAGCAGCCTGTATCAAACTGTATTTCAGGTCCTTGAGAGAGAAATGTCATGTTTAAGAGGCACAGACTGCTGTTTCACAGTCACCTCCTTTTTAAAAGAAGGATCTGCAATGCAAACTTAAGAGGATCACAGCTAGAATCACATCACATGGAAAGAGACTGTGGAATGGCAGTGTCCTGTGAACAGGGTGAACAAGGTTTTCCTTAACATCATCTCTACCCAGAGCAGGATGTTCAGTCCAGTATCATTCTCAAACAACCTCTTGCCTACACTTGAGGATGAGAGATGGTAGTGTCACTAATACCCTGCCAGAAGGTCCCTTACGGGGTGACAGTAGGCTGCAGCAGCTTTACTAGCTTCCCAAAAATCCATTCAAACAAGAACAACCCTACTAGTGAACAAACAAAAGGCTGGAACACAAACATGACATTCTCCCCTTATAATTTCCTACATGTACCAGAAATCCTCACACCAGAAAAAGGTGGCAAGGGAAGTAAGTACCTATGAGATCAGGAACAGCACCATGCTGTCAAAATTAGGCTTGTCAGAAGGCATTGAATGCCTTTGCCATGTAATAGTTGACGAGACAGGCACAGAAGCTCATTTTCTTTGGCCATAATTACAGATTTCCTGAAAGAAGCAAAAGACTTACCCACTGACACTGTGTCAATCAGGTAAAACTCCTCCTCACCACCCAAAGCCACCTTTTGAAGTAATTGGGCAGTTTATGAAGCAAGGGGCCTCGAAATTGCTTAGTTCTTTAAAGTCCTGCAAAAACAGGGCCCGCATTGAAGAATGACCCTTATTAGTGCCCCAAGCAAAATAAAGTCTGAAAGATTTCATCCCTGTCAGGCACAAGGGACTCAACAAAGCCCTCAATATCCACAGGAAACCCAGTTCCACCAGACTTTTATTTTTTAATTTACTACTGCTTTGTTAAAGAAGCGAAGGCAGGCCCAAGGAAGAACACCACAGACTACTTTTGGCTTTGGCAGAATGGTACTGCAACATAAATCAGGTTTCTCTTCTAAAATGAGGTAGATTAAACAGCTCGGCTTTTCCCATACTAATGCCATAACCTTCCCAGCCACCTCTTCTTTATACCTGGCAATTGTGTTCTGAACTGCAGCTTCACCAGTTCCTTTCGTGTTAATCCACTGATGATCTGCTGATGTTACTTCCTATAGCTCAGGCAGAAAGCTGGTGAGACAAGCTTGCCCTGTAGAAAAAAGTCTTGTCAGCTACCCACAGCCACCCCCAGAGCAAAGTGTAATGCTACCTTTCCTAACAGAGCCACAAGATACATATGCCGCTTCAAAAGTTCTTCTGAACATCCATAGGAAGAGTAAGTAAAATGTCTTTTCAATCCACAAACACACCATCCAATCTTTTAACCTTCCCAAAGCTGTGTTTTGCTGAAATGGCTGTCAGCAGCCTTAATAAAGTACAGAAGTCCAAGTCTGAAGTACCCCAATTACTTCAAAACTGAAGCACACCTACACTGCAACTACAGGATGAGATCATAGCACAGGTAATGTAGACTTTTATGCAGGTAATGTGAGGCAAAAGTCATAGCACCCCTGCAGCCCAAGTTGCAGCCTAAAAGTATTAAAAAAAAAAAAGGCCTCCATAAACACACAGTGGAATCTGTTGCACACTGTAGTTTCCTTTCTACCTTGTCTGTCCCTGACAGCACAGGCACACCATCACATTCCAGGCACAAGTTCACCATAGCAGCACATTTTCTTGTGCCAGCCATGCCTTGTTTGGGGATCCAAGGCTACTGCAGTAGCACAAAATAACATTTAATGCCAAATAGCAATGTCTTCTCTCCTGCTAGCTGTACTGCAACCAATCATCTTGCTCCCTACAAATAAGTTATCTGTATTCACACACAAAGCATCTCAAGGAGGAGCAGTCAAAATTTATGAGGCTAAACTCTCCCAGAGAGCCAGCAAAGTGATACAAACAGCACGCAGGCTAAAGTGCAGTCCAAAGTCTACTGTTTTAAAGCTGCAGTGCACTTGCTTAAGTCTTATAGGCAATTTAATGAACTCACCTCAATAGTGTTTTTCAAATCATAGGCTTTGGGGAAAGTAATCTTTAACATCTCAAAGTCTAACACTACCAAAACAAAGAGGTCTTAATAATAAGTTAGAACAAGCCCCTCAGGCTCCATTACACAAGTATGATCCTCTAATCTCAGTTCATCAGCTACAGCTGATGAAGTTGACCAGCTGCTAGAAAAAAAAAGAAAAAAGATCACAGAATTCCAGATACACAAATACCCAATTCCTCAATTCCCCAGCCATCTTCAAAGCAAGAACTCCACATTTTTGCACATGTTTGGCACCCAGGATTCCATTAAATGAGCAACTTCCTGGGTTTATTTTCTCTTTAACAGGCGCAAATTGAAGGTTTTCAAATGTCCAAGTGGTATATGCATGAAGCATACTTAGCACCTCCCAAAATCAACAGTACACTTCTGCCACCTATTCAGAGAGAGGTGCTCATCAACAGCTTGTCACTCTGCTGCAGAAATGCGATGATGTACTCAACAAGGTAGGGAATGGAAGACAGCTTATGTCAGTCAATTGACAGACTCCCCAAAAGTTACTCATAAAGAATGGCAAATACCAATTCAGGACAAAACATACTTTATTGTACTGTAATGTCAGAAGTACAAGAAAAGTACTGCAGAGAACCATGCTAATGGGGCATTAAGGGTCTGTGAAGGACAGAAGTACAAGATAACGGGGTACTACTGCACTCAGTGCAAAAACTGATTCATTTGAGGCACAAGTACACTATCGTTTAAGCAGCTTGATTCAAGCACAGCTCTGGTATGATCTACTCTGTTCTCTTTCTATGTGACAATTCCATAAAAAAGCTAATTTTACATGAAATAGGCAGTAGGTACAAGTCAGGGGTGTCCAAATTGCCACTTGCTGACAAAAAAAAATAGTAAGGAAAATACTCAGCATAGTCACCCTCCACATTTTAACTTCAGACATGGAGCTGTGGCTAGTGAAGAAAAATACTCTGAAAGGTCAGAGCCCAGATCTGTTTGGCTGGGTAGAGGGTTTTTTCCCCTCTTCTAAGTCTGTGGGTAACTTATTTCATGTTGACCACAGTTTATCCCATAAGAAGAAAAAAAGTAAAGGTACCTCTGATAAGGAATCATACATATCTAACATTCAAATAAACTTCAGCCCTTGACATCTTAACTTATGACTTAAGACAGAACAAAAGTGTTTGGGCACCCTTGAGTCAAAGTTAATGAAGAGCATTTTTGCTAAAAAGGCAAGCAATATCACGGTTTCAAACAGAGCTGACCTCTACAAGAAGAAAGCAGGAATCCAAGTCACTAGTTACTACTAGGCTGACATTGTACTGCTGCCCAGAAAGATAAAAATGTAACATCACAATGAAAAGGTTCAACAAAGTTGAAAGATAAAGGTTTCAACACCAGAAGCAGCATTTGAAAACAAGCTGTTTAAGTTAATCTTTTCAAGAGATGCAGATTGCATAACTAGGCATGAACAAACATGCTGGCAATCTTCTCCTTTTACACAGCAGCTGTGTTTAACATAGGAAGTTCTGGGTTTAAAGAAAGCTACTTGAAGAATTAAAGATTTGCGATTCCCTGTCTACTTATTGAGTTTAGTAGAGCAACAAAAAAAAAAATCACTACTGAAACAGTAGTTTCTCAGTGGATCCCTATTATTACAAACACAGCTTGAATCGTAAGCAACGCAAGACTAAACAGACAACTATTATATTATTACTATGCTTATAAGTTACATCGGTTAAAGTTAAAAAAAGCCAAGCAGTTTTGCCCTATTTCAAGAGTATTTTCCAATCAACACCAGTTTACTTGGTGAATGGGACTTCACAAATAAACAAGGAATGGTGACATCTTTGGGTCAAGAATGACAAGAAATAATGGGCTCTGTGCTACCAATCAACCTCAACAAGAATATGGCACAAGGGCCAGCCCAAGCTGTACCAACACTGAACCTTTAGCACTCAGCACAAATTCGGATCTCTTTACTTTAGCTAGCAGATCAAGTGAAAAGACTGGGTAAAAAAAAAAACAAAACAAAATAAACCAAAACCACTAACTAAAAACTTAACTCCAAAATTGGAATTACTTTTTTAAAAAACCTGTAGTTTTAAAATAATTTATGTTGACATCAGTTTGTGCAAACTAAAAGAAAACTCACCGAATTTCTCTCCAACAAAAGACAAATCCCCCAAATATTTTCATTTATCTGTAGATACAATCTCAAATCTAACAGATGTAAATGCAAGAGAGAAAAATTTACAGCATCTGCACAACATTCTTTCTACAAACAGCTGCCGGAGGGAAAGTAAAATATAAAAGGAATAAAGAAAGGAAGGTTCCATCTGAAATACTCTCTCAATCTTTCCCACTCTGTAGTCCATGAATCCGACTCTGATGCTAAGGTGACAGTGTATGTAAGCAGATTTTTTTGATGATTTTATTATTTTTGAGTTTCAGTTGAAGAGAACCTGAGAAGAGACTCAAGTCTCTTCAGGAATTGTCAGATGGAACATGCTCCTCAAATCCTTCGCTCTCTCGGACCAACGCTCTTTCCAGGATAACACGGCCTTCCTTGTAGCGCTGGCTGTCTTCAGTGGCAAATTCATAGATCCAACCCAGTTTGCTGTTGCAGTTCTTGCAGCTCACGTCTCGAACCATGTGGCGGCCAGTGAGCATGACCCGATCCTGAACTTCACTGTACTGCAGATTTACCACCTGATACGAATACACAGGGACAGGGAATAGAGAGGATTAGTCTGCCCAGAGCAAAGCTTGGTAACAATGTCCATGACTATCAACATTTTAAAAGTAAAAAGCCTCTGGCACTGCACATAAACTGACAACTGGAGTGTAGTAAGTCAACAGCCCTTGAAAATCTGCTTGTGAAGGTAACACTTTAAAGATGCGCTTCACAGGGATGTATAACCCTCACTGTTTAACTGAGACATGAAATGCTATCACAAGACGTACTAGAGTGCAGAGTACCCCGTTCAACTACTTGGTATTAATCCACTTCTAATACATGTAACCCTTTTCTAGCCACTGATGTAATCACTTATTCCCAGAAGTCAGAACCAAAACATTAAAGAGGTACTTCTTTAAAAGTCTTCAGGTACATTTGAAACAATCTTCTAAGTAAAAGCAGGGCTCAGTGGCTGAGAATGTAGGCATTGAACATACACCTTTTTTTGTGTGTGCTACCTTGTTTCAAACATTCTTTTAACTTGTTACACAGCAACACCAAAGAACCAGGATACATAATTCGTTGAGAAGTTAATGTCAGAACTACAGCCAAACTGCTGATATGCAGTAGGATTCTGAAAGATGGGGCTGTGCTGCCTTCTCAGCTTGCCACCTGACTCTGCTCATTGTCTCTACATGCTTCAGATGTAACTTCAGATGTAAGGTTTCTGCGTGCAGAAATGTAAAAAAAATAAATTTCTGTGATTAAACCCCACTTTATAACACCAGAAAAATTTGAATCCCAGGATCCAGTTCATATTGGGTGAAAACACACAGATGCAAAGTCCTTTTATAGCTATGAAGCCCAACCCTTAGAGATTAATACTACTGCAGGATCCAGCATACCAGAAATCCCAAGGCCAAGCACAGTAAGTGAAGACATTACTGACGCCTCTATCAACTCTGCCAATTACCAAATGGCTTTCAAGAAAAAACCCAAACCAACACACACCAATGATTACAGGACCAGGAGCTTTGTGAGAAAGCACAAGATCATCACTGTTTTTTTCAGTAAGTCTAACAGAAGGGTTAATAAATAATGCTACAATTCACTTGTTTAGGTGTCTTATTAACATTATTCTCAGACTAAAGCCAAAACACAGCACTGCACCAGATTCTAGGAAGAAAACAAACTCAATCTCAGCTGAAACCAGGACACTTCTGTATTTCAGTCTGTTGAATTAAATCAAATATGATTAAAAAAATCTTAAACTAGAGTGTTACTGCCTGTAAAAGTGCCTATGGTTACCTAAAGCTGCCCAACTACTCTTAGCTTCAATGCATTTTAGAATTAAACAGAATACTACCTAGACTTTAACTGACTAAAAGCACAAATGCCTTTGAAACTCTTTGATAGACAAGAAGATACTCTCACAGTGAATCTGAGGTTCATATTACAGAAGTCTCCAAAGTCAAAACTCCATGTATTTTGGCATGATACCTATGTACACACAACCCTCTTTACAGTCTTTCAGTATTGCGGATAAACTAATCTAGATAGCTTGCCATTGATAGTGAATGCCTGATTGGACTTCAAAGACAGCTAGATAGAACAAAATGAAAATAATTAAAAAAATGAGATAGTAATTACACAACATTTTAGCCAAGAAGCTTTTTAGTTGTGATGACAGATTCATAACCCACCAATTCATTTTTCAAAAGCAAATAGTAGTTCCTCCTCAGCTTCTTACCCACCTTGTTAAAAAGAAAGGCTCTTCCCGTGGCCCCTGTAAAACGAGTGGAGATGAGCTCAGATCGGTTGGTCAGGATAGTGTCACAGTTTGCACAGGAGAACAGGCGAGTGCCACCAATGTGATCCAGAAAAATTCTTCCCATTTTTAGAACTCACGTAAGTTTATCCTCAAGACCTGAAAGCGAAAAGAAAGATCACATACACATAAAAAAAAAAAAAAAAAATCATTGCAGAAAAAACCCAACCAACTCCAAATACCCCATACACATGGGCAGAATATTCTGCAAACCACTTCAGCTAATAATTGCAGAGGTTCCTTCTTCCATAGATGAATTACTCAACTTACAGACTGTATTCAGCCTTTCTCATCAAGAGAAGTTTTTTCCCAAAGTAACCATCTTACCAATCAGATGACACACCTAGATACAAACTAATAACATTAAATGAGCAAACCACAAACCATAACCTTTGAAGTACAGTTCAGACACTTGCAGACCACTTCTGGACCCTACAGTTCTTAAACTCAAAAGCCTCCACTTCTTTCCTTTTTCCTCTTTAATACAAAACTGAAATTCCATTCAGTATATTCCCAACGACTCACTCATCTTAGTCAGCACTGGGAAATGAAGCACAGAGAAGTACATTGAGTCATCAAGGCAATTACGGTTTAATTTTCCCAAGTCACATCCCCCCCCCCTTTTTAAAATATGTATTTTGTCACTTCCCCTAAACTTTGCAGAATTTCTGATATGCAACCACACAACACCACCATCCAAGATGCTTTAGTCTTCTGTAGTAGACTGGGCTACTGCATTTGACTCAACACTTAGTGATTTCACGCACATAACAACATAGGAAAGGTTTGGATGCTATTTCACATAACAAACAATCCACCCAGTCTTTACACTAGACAGTTTATATATATAAACACTTAAAGCTGTCTGATCTAAATACAAAATACTGTGTCATTGACCCAAGCTATTTCCAAAGCATCATCACTGAAACACCTGAGCAACTTCAGCAAGCAGAAAAAAAGAGCTTAGAAATTTATAGCAGCAGATAAGCAGTATCTAATAAACAAACCTCTTCACTGCTTGGGAAATTAAAGTATCTCACCAACTTTATACTAACTACATAGATTACTCAGTTAACTAGCAAGTAGGCATGAAACATATCAGACAGCTGAAAACTTAAATCACGAAGGATGAGATAACATGACAAAGGAATTAAATTATTATGCTATTTCCATTTCAACTGCTGAAGTTTTATGACTAGGCATCTACAGTTAAACAAGCTAAATATACCTCCATTATGCTTCAGATGTGGAACCAGAAGAGAGTATTGTCTCTGCTTTTATTATGCACAGCAATGCAAAGTAAATCTGACATGCTGCAATATTAAAATCATGTGGGTTTTACTTTTTGGAGTAGGAGACAGTGTGCCATTCAGAGAGAAATTAATCAAATTTTGTGCTTGACAAGTTGAATCTTTTATGTCAAATTTAAGGCTTTAAGGAGCACAAATACCTAAATTAAACCCATTTCAAGTTTCAGGGGACCAGTTTCTTAAAGCTTACTCTGACATGCACAAAGCAAATGGACTAAAACATGCACCTGCACACACAAAATTTTAAATACCATTTTACATACAAAAATCATAAGCCACTGACATAATTTTTTTTCAATTGCTTTATTTCATCAGTTTGTTTTCTTATAGGGTGCGGCGATAAAAAGGGTTCCTGGTATTGAACAGAGTGATTTTAGCACAACTTCCTTGCATTCAGATTTTTTGTATCTTTGTTAGTCTTCCATATCCCATCTGAAAGATACATAAAAACTCAAAGAGGAATGGAATGCCTCTTTCATTTGAAAGTGATATGACACCCATTTTTCTTCTTGGGAGGACAAATAGAACAGGTCTTGAGTTTGACAAAAATATTTCAAAGATTTAGCTGACGGTATGGGTGCATCTCCTTGTGATTCCACACAAAATATGGAAGCGTTTTCCTTCAATTTCCCTAAGCATTACACCTCTCTAATGTCTTTATCTTTCCCAGCAAGCAAGGGCAAAAGAAAAAAAATAAGATGTGAACAGTGACAGCATGAAGGAAAATCAACAGACAATAAGTGTGAATAAATAGTATCAGTCAAAGTCTCCAACCAGAAGAAACCACAAAGACAAGCAATAAAGGCAACTGTGACAGATATGCCCATGAGGCACTTGGCCTAGCTCCATGTGCCATCCTTACTAATTTTGGATAATGCTATTTTTGTGTTGATTGTATTGTAGATTAAAAACAATTAACTGATCATAAGTTACTGTAAATGTTGAATCAACATCCAAAAGGGTATTTCTTTCAGGGTAAACACAGTGTTCACCCCTTCAGTATTTCTAGAAGCTAATATAAAACAAATCCAAACACATCCTGCTCTTTCACCAAAAGCAACACAAACAATAAGCTTGCTAAGTGATGAGAACAGATCCATTACACAGACCAACCTTGTAAAGCATGCCACTATGAAAAATATGCATCTGAACACTTAAAATGCAAATACATCATCTATCTAAAAACAGAATTCATGTTACCGCACCCAGAAAAGCAGTAACCCAGAGCCACTAAAACCAAAATGTAACTACTTCAGAAGAGAGTGCAAGTGTAATTCTTATAAGCAAATTAGAACTCAAAGCAACACAGAAATGTATTACTTCTAGATATGGCATTATGCATGGACTGAACTGCTGAGTCCTGAAGATACTGAACATTAAATGCATAAATATGTTCAAAGACTTAAAGCTGAAAAACCTACCTAGTAATACAAGGCCTACATTCTTCACTTATTTGTATCACACCAAAAAGCAGAAAGTAACCTCACCAAGTATTGAGGTGAAAAAAAAAAACTTCCAATAAATAAGGCTGGGGTTCCAACAGAAAGACAAATTGAGATTCATCTGATGGCAGCACAAGGATGCGTAAATTCAGATTAAAGTTACAGCAGAAACTAATAAACCAACTGGTAGCCGACCAACGGTCTTCAGAATACAGTGTATAAGAAAACAGTGTATTCTTTAAATAAGTGCACATTTAAAAATTTGGAAAATTAAATCCTACAATTTAGTTAAAGGATAAAACACTATGATAGCTTCTCTTTCACCATTTCACTGACATTGTAACAGTCAAAACAGTCCAGATTTTGAGTTGGGGTTGTACTTTTGAGAAAATACTAAAATAATGTAATCCTACTAGAATATCCAACTTTAAAAACAACCTCTATACTTAACTGGTCCCTGGTAGATTTCAGTCAAAGCAGACAGCAGTCTACAACTATCATTAGCTCTTGGTTTTGATGGCTAAAGGATATCAAGGAATCCTTAAGGGTTCAGCTGAAATGTTATACACCTTAGTCTTTGTATTACTGCTCACAGTTGTAAAAAGAAAGAAAAGTAATTTACAAACTGATTGCTAGTAAGGCAGTCTTCAAATGCCACATTTGATCATGGACTTCCTAAATAACAAGGAACTTTTGCTTTTTCCTCTCATTTCACACTCTTCCCTCCTCTTTGATAGTATTCACTTACAAGACCAACTCTGAAAGTATTTGGTACAGGTGAAGACTGTTCTCTCCTGATATATGGATCTTGAATCCTGTACGGTACAACTCATCATATAAAAAGCACTACAGAACAAGGGAAA